CCTCTTCTCCGTTGTAGGTGCTTGATCCATTTCAGATCCTTGTGGCAGCCAACAAGGCCGTCCATCTCCACAAGCTTGGGAAAATGAAGATAAGGACTCTGTGCACAGAAATTATCTTCAACTTTCCCCAAACAACAACGTAAGGGCACTTTACTCACTGACTTCTACAGGACCTCGTCTGCTTAATGCCAGGTTGGAAATTGAACCCATTCAGACCTGGTGAAATGTTGTGATCCACTGAAATGATAGAATTGAGCTTACTAAGGATCTGGCAGATACCCAGAAGGTGGGTGGGAGACCCGTAGGACACATCCGAGTCTGTCCCATTGAAGGCAGGAACGCACTCCTGACATTTAGAGAAATTCAGAGTGGGCCTCAAAGATGAGAGCTGATGAGTTCGCAATGCCCATGTCACTAGGAGAAAAGTTAAGGCAAGACCCAGCTGTGAGTGCCATTTAAACAAAGAGCCCGTTTCAAGTGGGAAAGGCTCTTGCCCTCTTCCCACTGTCCAGGACACTGTTTATTCTGCCACTGTGGGACGTGCTCTTTCACGGCAGCTCAGAAGCTCTGATGGAACTCTTTTGCTTTCGTGGCAGATTTCAGAGGCCTTGAAGAAGTTTGGCATCTCAGGCAGCGACACTTCAGTTTTCATTATTTATGTCGAAGAAGGAGAAAAGTGAATGAATCCAGAAGGCCTCATATCTCAGGTGGATGGTCATCAGGTCGCCTTCGACAAGCTTCCAGAAATAACAGATATCACCAAAATGAAAAGGGTTGGAGGAATCTCATGTTTTCAGATTGATAGTGATGGGGTGGAAAGAGTTTGTTTTATTGTTATTAGCTTGATCAGAAAGGTTCCCCTCTGGGTCCCCTGGACCTGGTGGTGAGATCATATGTTTCCTTAAGCCTTTTCAAGACATTTTAACTCTGGGCAGGACCCAGTGGAGAACTGTGGGAAAATCCTTGAAAAATGTTCTGGGTTCACAAGCCTTGGAGAAATGTTGGCTGGTGCCTGCTTCCATATTCTTTCAATTGTCTGCTTTTGAAAAATTGGACAGTGTTCCTTAAGAGAAAGTGATGACCATGAATTTCTTTTGATTCTGTATGAGTGAGTAAAATTGAGTTGGTCACGCCAAGTATTAATCTGCCATTTGTGACTTTATTTTTATAGACATACAAACTGACTCCCAAAGAAGAAAAGATTGGGACATTATTAGAAAGCATCATTTGCAGAATGTCAACCAAAGATGTTTTATGAAATAAAAAAAAGAATCAGCAAATGTTTTTGGCATGATTTTAATGATAACTTTTTGTAGTCTTCCAATCCTGTCCTGTCCATCTCATTGAGGAGTGAAGGCTCTGCTAATTGGACACCCTGTCTGCCCTTGCCCGGCATGGCTCTGGTTGGAGGTCCTACTCAGCATGGCCGGTCAGCAGGTCCTGTGTGCACTCACCCTGCTCCCATCCTGCCTCTTCTCTTTACACATCCACCCCACCCCCATTTTACAGGTAAAGAGACTGAGGCCCAGGGAGTGACCTGTAAGTGTCAAAGCTGGGATCTGAGCCCATGTTCACTCCTGGACTAGCACAAGGCCTCGTCGCTGCCTCGTCACTCTCTGGAATCCAGCTTCATTCAGCTATCAGTGGGGTCTTCCTAAAGCCCTCCGGTGGCTCCCTAGGACCTCGGATTGGCCTTCCAAGCCCTGCATTTCCCAGCATGCCCTTCTCCAGCGAGCCAGACTGCCTTCCTTGCTGCTCCTCACGCACAAGATCCCGTCTCCCATCTCCTGCCTTTGCACAGAATGCACCCCCACCCCATCTCTCCTCTTAGAATCTGTGACTTTCTGCAAAGCTCAGCCCAAGTGCCCTTCTTTCACTGAGGCACCTGATGGCCAAGTAGTTAGAGCAGTGGGCCTGGAGTGAGGAAGACCCGAGTTCTTCCTCAGGTGTAACCCTGGGCAGATCACTTAACTTTGTCTGCCTCAGTTTCCTTAACTGTAAAATGGCAATAATAAGGGCATCTACTTCCCAGGGCCTGACACAGAATAAAGGCTTATTTATTCCCCTCCCCTTTTCTTAAACCACTCTAAAGGCTGCTGCCCTGTCTAACCCCCAATTAACTGGTGATTATTTTTCATTTACTTATAATGTGCACACATTGTCTCCCCAGATGGTGGGTAAATTCCTTGAGATCAGGGACTGGTTCATTTTTGCCCTGGCCTGGCAAATTGTTGGTGCTTAATAAATGCTTCTCACCTCATCACCCTGATGGCATGACCTCAGACAAAGAATTTTCACCTTCCTCCTGGACAGGAATCCAGGTTTCCCTAGTTCCAGCCCTTGTCTCTGGGAGGACCTGCCTGCCCCTTTAAGAACCCCAGCTGTATTTCCTTAACTCCCTTTGGCCCATAACTTTGGTCTGGGCCCTGAAGGCAGAGCCTCTGACCTGGGAAATGGTCCAAAGGAGAGAGCAGACCTGCTCCTTGGGAAGCGACTGGAAGAAGTGTAGAGATGGAGAAAACCCAGGGAAAGCCTCTTTCCCTTTTCCTCCCCTCTCTCCCTCCATCTGAACCAAACTGGCGGAGGGGGCCATCTAGTTTAGGTTCAGAGGGGCTTTGGAAGGGGTCTGTTAGTGTGGGCATTGAAGCCCCTGAGGGCGGCTAGATGCTGTCCCAACCTCTCCTTCCTCTCTGCAGTTTCCCCTGATCTCTAGTAACAAAATGGCTTCTGACCTTCCCAACCTAAAGATCATTCTCCTGAGATGGAAAAAGAAAAGTAAAAGAAGTGTTTAGTAGACCTGCTTTTCACTTCACTGCTATCATTCCAGTCACCCCAAGGAGCTGCTCTGTGCCTTCTCTAATGCCCATCCCAGATCCCAGGAACATAGACCAGCACCATCCTAAAATGTCATACAATTGAATCTGCTTGTTTTACAGATGAGGAAACTGAGGCCCAGAGCAATTAAGTAATGCATAACATAATAAACAGAATGATGAATATGGTGGTTCCATAGAGACTTGGATTCAAATCCCACCTCTGACATTCACCACCATGGTGACCAGAGGCAAGTCATTAACCTTTCAAATTATGTTTCCGCTGTGCTATGAAATGATGAGCAGGTTGATTTTAGGAAAACCTGGAAAGACTTGCATGGAATAATGCGGGGTGAAATGAGCAGAACCACGAGAATGTTGTATACAGTAACAGCAATATTGCTCAAAGGACTGTGAATGACTGAGTTATTCTGAGTATTATGAGTACTGGAATCAACTAGAAAGGACCCATGAAGAAAGATGCTTTCCACCTCCAGAGAAAGAACTGATAAATAGAAGTATGCATAGTATGATTTTACATATGTGTGTATATACATGTACATATATATACACACATGCATATATGTGTATATATATGTGTATACACATGCACACACATACATGTCTTTCAAACGGTGACCTCCTCTAGAGCTGAGTAGGGAGCGAGGGAAGGAGACAGTTTGGAACTTAAAATTAAAACTTAAAAAAATTAATTAATTAATAATTTTTTTTTTTAAATCATGTTTCCTCATCTGTAAAAGGGGAATATCACAAAAGGTGCCTCCTTGACTTAGGACACTCAAATGACATAAAGTCTATGAAGAGCTTTGGACATTATAAAGCACTGAGTGTTACTGCCGAGGATCCCACAAGGGCTGCATGATAGAGCCGGATGGAATGTAGACCCTCACAGTGACTACATCGAAATAAATGGAAAAAACAAAAAACAACCACCCTAAATGCTGTGAAATGGTAAAGAAGTTAATCCCCAAGGAAACACGAAGAGAAGTCACCTTCCCCTACTTTTGCAGTGGTGAGAATCCATGGGTGTAGAACATTGCATATAATGTCATTTGATGGGGGAGGGGATACATTTGGCTAATTTTTTTAAATTCATTGTTATGAGGCATAATTCTCAGGGACAAGGGAAAGATTGGGGGTGGGGATCAAAGTTATTGTAAAAGTAAATATAACAGTTCAAAAACTTTAAAAAGCAAGGAAATTCAAAGTAATGGGGGTGAAGGGACACCACGTAAGAGTTGCAGAGGCCTGCCTTTTTTTTGTCTTTGTAATAAGCTGCCACTGAGATCAGGCTTTAAGCGGTAATGTTCTGGGAAATGCTTAACACCTAGCTCTCCCAAAATGAAAAATAAAAAAGTACTTTGGAGCACACTTTTCAGTTTAGTCAATAGTATTAACATTTTCTCCACTCCCTTCTGAAATCTACACAGTGAACAACACAGCAAATGATTCGTAATGTTTACTGGTTTCCAACGTGTTAATCCTCATTGAAAATGTCGGCTCCCAGCCATGACAGCTGCTCTAGGACTCCCCTGACTTGAAGGTTCACAAAGCACCTTCCATCCTTTTCTCATTTCTCCCCTTAGTACCTAGCTCTGGGCTTGTCACAGAGGGGGCGTTCTGATCAATGCTCACTGAATCCAACTCAACCTTATCATTGCCCCACTTGACCACGCTTGACAGTCCCCTGCCTAAGGATTCACGGGGAACAGTTATCTGGGGACAGAATCATCCCCTGGTGTGGTCCCTCAAGTCTACAGAGCTCCCACATGAGCTTCACTTCAGCCTTGAGACATACATACAACACGTGTTATTGTCACCCACATTTGAGTTCACGGAGGCTAGGTGATTTTCCCAGGTACAGGAAGCAGGATGTGAGCCCAACTCTTCTGGAACATCAGTATAGGACCCTACCCATTAGCAAGACCATCTCTCCCCTTAAAACACTTAAAATACAGTAATTCAGACCCTCCCACACATTTGCATTTTGATGTAAATCACTTCTTCTCTAAGGTTGTCCCTCAGCCTAGAAGCACATTTTCAGAGGACATTTTGCAAATAAGAAGAGGCCATCAATGTTTCCAGGTCAGTCAACAACCGTTACTAATCAGTGACTACAGAAACCACCTGCTGATAGCCAAAAAGCTCATGTGGGCCAAGGGCCTTTCAGGAACAGAGGGATAAGGTGTATTTGTAATGAGCTAAAGAAATGGCTGTGATGGACCATTTCAATGCCATCAGTGTTTCATGGGATTTCCAGAAGCCAAGACTCTCATACAGTCTTCTTGCTGGGTAATTCAAGCTGGCAGTGGTCAGGACAACACCGTTGTGCCCCTTGTCCTGAGCAAAATGGAGCACAGTCTGAATCAAGGTCTTGGCGATGCCCTGGCCCCGATGGTCCTGTCTCACAGATAAGTGTAGCAGCTCCAGATTTTTCTGTCTTCCTGAAACCTCTTGTGCTGGGCAGGCACACACCAAGCCCACCACCTGACCCCCTGACTCTGCCACCCAGAAACAGGATCCTTTGTCATTGAGGTAGGATGCCCTGATGTCCCACATGTCAGTGTGCAGAGCGTGGTCTACATAATAGGAGAAGGGATACCTAGCAACCAGCCACAGGATAACCAAGAGTCCCAGGAGGGCCAGGAGAGACAGGAGGAAGGAGCCAGAGCCAAGGAACAGGGCCCCGGGGCCCCCCAGCAGGAGCAGGAAGCTTATGGGCTGTTTCAGCTGATACCAGAAATTGTCAACAACTTGCTGCATCATTCCATCTGCGAATATGGCCCTCACCATATGCCAGTCTTGATCCTGGTATCTCCGGATTTGGCAGGGGGCCATGGAAGCTGCTTCTTCTATGTCCTAGGAACCCTGTGGATGAAATCCAAGTCAGCCTCTGCCTTTCTTATTCCTCCAGCTCCCTCCTGCCTGCCTTCATCACTCCATCTTCCCTCCCAAAGCCTACCTCCTGCCGCTGAACCCCAGAGAGGACACTGCCTGATGGGAGGGCAAAGGAGCTCCAATTCATCACTCTGCCTGCTCCAGAGGTTCCTCATGCCCTCCAGAGATATGACACCTAAGGATGTTTAAGGGGGCAGACACAGCTGGAGATAGGGAGAAAGAAATAATACGGTGCTCTCAGACCCATCAGGGACCAAATCTTCCAATGGGAGTGAAATGCATGCCTGCCCAGTCCCTAGGCTCCAAGGCAGCGGATTTCCCCAAAGAAGATGCCCTTTCCCTCTCTCCTTACCTGCCCACCAGACTGTTCAGCTGTTGCTCAAAGGAGCTGCCTGTTTGCTCCAGTCTGCAACAAACTCTAACCCATCCTCCTCTCTGGCCACTCCCCAAGGTCTCCATGGGAACTCCCCAAGAAGTCTGACAGAGGACAATGGTTTTCCTTCTGCAGGGAACCTCTGATGGCAGCAGGGTCCTCAACTTCTCACTCCCTCCCTGGGGTTTCTGCCCTACTTTCTCCCATTGAAGTCTTTAGGAGTCTTTCTTTATAGTTTATCATTTCCAAAAAAGAAAAAACAAACTATGGTGAGATACTTAAATATATGTTCATATCTACACTTTACAAAATAGCAACCAAGGATATCTATTATTTCGTTTATAAATTGTTTAAAAAAATTTTAATTAATATTATAAATGATCATAGGGCAGCTAGGTGGTACAGTCCGGGAGTCAGGAAGACTTAGTTCAAATCTGGCCTTAGACACTTACCAGCTGTGTGACCCTGGCCAACTCACTTAACGCTGTTTACCTCAGTTTTCTCATTTGTAAAATGAGCTGGAGAAGGGAATGGCAAACCACTCCAGTATCTTTGCCAAGAAATCCCCAAATGGGGTCACAAAGAGTTGAACTGCCTGAAAATGACTGGACAAATAAATGATTATAAGTCTTTGTTTTTCTTTTATTCTTACTGGCAGCATGAGCTAGTGTGTAGAGTTCTGTGTTTGGAGTCAAGGAGCTGGCCCAGGGCCTTTTCCCACTATTTCCAACAGAGGTTTCCCACAAAAGCTTTGTTGTGAACACTTGGCTGCTGCCACCATGAGAAGTGGGACGAGCATCCATCTATTAAGTACCTACTGGGAGCAGAGCATCATCTAGGAGAGAGAGAAGGTACTGCTTGGGTCAGATATCCTCCCTACTCACATGGCACTCCCATCTTGATGCACAGTTTCCTCAGTGTGGTGCACAATATTACACGGGGAGAGAAGCATAATGGCTAATTAACAGAGAGCTGTTGTTTTAACAGACATAGCGATAATGGGGAGGAATAAACGCACATCTTGACTTTCGATAATACTATGAGTTGTGTAGAATGTGCCAGTCTGGAGGAATGGAGTTAACTCTCTAGTGTCTGTGAATGTTTTCTTTCCCTTCTAAGGTGTCAACCATAGGGCATCATATAAGTTAGGAGGACTGCTAGGTCCCTGGGGGAGTCAGAGTCTTTAGGCAAGAAGGTACATCTCTTTGCATTTTCCTCTACCAAAGGGAACATTGACCCTGGAGTGGAGTCCTCTAAATCTTCAGGACTGTATAGGTTTCTGTTGTACAGCACTGGTGGTGAGTGGCTTATCTAACAGTGCCTAGTTCTATTACCTTCTCAATTTTAGCACGATATTATAAATTTGGAATGCTGCCTAGGTCCCTGGTAAAAGCAAAGATTCATTGGAGAGAGGAGAGAAGTTTTATGTGTTCTTGGGTTCAGGTGTGAGCCCTTTCTGTTTGGTATTTTCTCACTGGGACAAATAAGAGGCTGTTTTATATTTGGTATATTGTTAGCATAAATATTCACACAGAAGCTAACAGTGGTGTGTTGGTAAATGTTTAACAACTGGCTTTCTGGGATAAGGGGTACCTTTTTAGTTTAATCTGCATCATTAAAATTTTCTCCATCACTTTCTTACATCTAGACAACCAAAAAAAAAAAAAAACCAATAAATCACATCCTGATTTGTAGTGTTTGCTGATTTCTGAGGTGTGAATACTCACATTGAAAATTTAACAATCAGCTGGCAGGAGTCATAGGAGCTGGTTTCAGCATACCCCTGAAGCTAAGGCACTTTTTATTTTATTTTATTTTACCTTTTCTACAGAAACCTAGACTTGAGAAAAACGTGGAAGTTCCTGGGGAAAAAAGAATGACGAGATAAGGGGAATGATTTGTGAGAACCCCATGTCCTCTCCCTCCCCCCAGGCACACATACACACACAGTACACACACACACACACACAGACACACACACACACACACACAATTATTTCTCGGTTATTCTTCTAGGTTTATTTTCCCCAGGCAAAGCACTTGATATATGCAAAACAATGTACTATGTAGAATTTGAGGGGAAAGGTTATTACCAAGAGGGGTTATCAGGTCAGGTTATTAGTAGGAAGTAGTGGTTAAGCTGGACTTTGAAGGATGGATAAAAATTTGAAAGGCAAAGAGGAAGGGGAAGAAAGAGGAACAGTTTGGGCAAAGGTGTGGAGGTGGGAAAATGCTGAGCACACTGGGGATATTGAATGTTGTCCCATTAAGTAGCAGAAAAAAGGAGAGTAAAGGGAAATAAGGTTATAAAGACAGAAAGGGGCCAGAATGTGAAGGGCTTCCGATGCCAGGAAAAGGAGTTTGACTTTTATTGAGTGGGCAATAAAGAGACACTGAAAGTATTGTGTTGAGGAGTCAAGTGAATAAGTCCACAAGGACTCATTAGGTACTTACTATGTGCCAGACATTGTGCTAAAACTAGAAGTACAAATGCAGGCAAAAAGAAAGATAGTCCGAGAGAGGATTCTAGGAAGGTGACAGAGTAGGTTCAGAAAATTCGAAGCTTGAGGGGTGGAACCCAGATGGTGGAGTGAAAGCAGTGACTTGCTTGAGCTCTCCCCCAAACCCCTCCAAATACCTATAAAAAATGGCTCTAAACAAATTCTAAAGCAGCAGAACTCACAAAAAGACAGAGTGAAATAAATTTCCAGCTGAAAACAACCTGGATGGTTGATCACAAAGGTATATCTCGCCAGGCAGAGAGAGAAGCACAGTTTGGCATGGGCGCACAGGCCAAAGCCACCCTGGAGCAGACCTCAGAGGACTGAATTGCAGGCAACTGGGGCAGTTTTCAGACTTCATAACCTAGAAATGCCAAAGACAACTTAGAAGGTCAGTGTGAAAAGTCTGTGACTGCGGTGAGAGAGAGGAGCTAGGTCTCAGCCACAAGTCCCGAGTGCGGGGCAGTGGCTGCCTCCTGAGCTTCCAGCCCACAGACTGAGGGGGAATCAAGTGGCTGATCAGAGGTGGATTGCAGGGATCTCTTTGCCAGTGCTGAGGCAGGAATCTCTTGCTTTGCCTGTGCTTGGATCTGGGTCACAGTTCTGAGGGGCGGTCCTGGGGTAAGGAGGAGTGCTGGCATGATGGAGCTTGTTGTGGCAGTAGAGAGGAAACACCCCACCCCTTATTATATCACCTTGGAAGAACTGAAAATTTACAGGTCCTTAGAAGTATCTCTGAAAACAGCTGTACAAACCCCCAAAGCTTAGGACAATACATTCTCCACATTGGAAGCAGACTCTTACCTTAACAAAGAGTTTAAAACTCAAGTAATTGGCCAGGATCATGAGTAAGCAGCGCAAAAAGAGTCAGACTATATTATCTTACTTTGTTGACAAAGAAGATCAAAATATACAACCAGAAGACAACAAAGTCAAAGCTCCTACATCCAAAGTGTCCAAGAAAAATATGAATCAATCCCAGGCCTTGGAAGAGCTCAAAAGGGATTAGAAGTAAGTAAGAGAGGTAGAGGAAAAACTGGGAAGAGAAATGAGAGTGATGCAAGAAAATCATGAAAAACAAATCAACAGCTTGCTAAAAGAGACCCAAAAAAATACTGAAGAAAATAACACCTTAAAAAATAGCCTAACCCAAATGGCAAAAGAGGTAGCCTCGCCCAGCCACAGGAATTCTTACCTCCTGGACAGTATAGGGAGTCTGGCAGTGTCTGCTGGTAAGGGACACCAGGCCCAGCTGTGCTGCAGAAACATAGCCCTGGGTGAGAAGGAACCAGCATAAGCCCAATGAGTACAGAAGCAGTGGAGTGGGGATGCTATTGGCTGTGGACACTAACAGGGGGGCAGAGTTCTTGGGTCTGGTTCCAAGCCAGAGGGAAGAACTGAAGGAGGACCTGAGGCCAGAGGCACCATCCCCCACTGAACTGTGTTTCTCTCCCAGCCCGGCACAATAGACTTTTCTAATCAACCATCCAGGTTGTCTTCCCCTGGAAATTTGATTCACTCTAGAATTTGTTTTGAGCCATTTTTTACAGGTATTTGGAGGGGTTTGGGGGAGAGCTCAAGCAAGTCACCGCTTTTACTCTGCCATCTTGGCTCAGCCCCCCAAAACCCAGAATCTCAAGGAAGAAAATGACTCCTTAAAAATTAGAATTAGGCAAGGTGAAGTCAGTGAGGACATAAGAGATCAAGAAATAATAAAACAAAATATTTTATTGCCAAAAATCCTGAACTTAATAAAAAAAAATTAACATACAAGATCCAAAAGAAATGTAAGGTAAACATCAATGACTAATTACAAGGGACTCAATAAGGGCAGACTGTTCACTTTTTATATGAGGAAATGTAAACCCTATTTTTAAGATTGTAATTACTAATTGGGTTGTTCAAAAGAAAGATTGGGGTAGAGTTGAGCATGATGTGAGTCTTAAAAGTAATACCTTCTAGGAAAAGGTAAAAAGAGTAATTATCTGTACAAATGAGGTGCCAGAGGAAGAACTGACACAAAGCAATTAGATGGGGGAGGGGGGCTGGTAGCTCTGGAACCCTAC